ATGAAAGTCAATGCAAAATCCTAACAAACACAGCTGCATTTGCAATTGTGTATTACTCATTTTGTAAGGACATTAACGTGATTAGTGCATCATTTTTGCAACTCGACTACCTTTTGGGGGCAAACAAGTCCTAATATCGATATGCACTGGCATGGATATGCATGTAAGTCAGCATAATTCCTTTCATGTGATTGAAACTGCAGTGCCCTTCAGTGTGTTAATGTGTGTTTTTGGTAAGAGCTTTTGCAGTAAGGAAAGTCAATTCTGAAGAGCCGAGCTTCCTTCCTGTCTGACAGGCATCACAGGCCAACAATAACACACATTTTCTCTCTATTTTATCTTTCTCTCTGTGTCTGCCTGACAGCAGAGTACACAGATCAGACAGGGATGGCCCAAGCGAATGGTAAACACATGCATAAATACACACACTCACAAACAATCATGTCAAGCAGCAGGACTGCCTGGAAATGGCACACATGCAGGGAGCAGGAATGGGTTTTTTTTTTGCTGTTTTTGTTATATACCCTGGTGTTACTGGCTAATATATCTATATATGTATTTTGTATCTGACTTTAACACTGGTTTAGGTCTATATTAGCAGATGTGACTGCTTTATAAAAAATAACTTATTTGAAGTTTTGCAGGTTCTTAAAAAATGAAACTTTGCAATAAGCTCTCGCTTATGTTTTCTCTTAATTATCAGGAACAATGCTGACCTCAGCTGGACCAAGTGAGTTACTGCTGTTGTTTACCCTCCTTTATGAAAAGCAGTGGGCATCAGAGAAAACTAAATCATGTAGCAGTTCACCCGCAGAGACAGTCTAACAGAGCATATCAGGGGGAAAAGACAGACAAAATGGAAAATGCAAGGCAAAGAATAGAGAAACCAAAGACAGAGAGAGAGGTGAGGAGAAGATGTCCTAACAGGTAGGTAGATAGTGCCATAATGGTGAGAAAGAGGTGAGAGACAGTCAACAGAGAAAAAGCAAGCGAGACAGATGAGCAATATTCAGACTAAAGCATCCTACGCTTAATTAATTAGAGAGTGAACACACTGCGGGGCTCTCGGCTGCTTGAAAGAGAGTTAGGCGTATAACATCCTCACAACATACACCCACACTCAAAACCCCAGACACGTGCAAAAACACACATGGAAACGCACAACAAAGGAACCCCGTCTGACCTCTTTTTCAACAGTATTTTAGAGGAGACACAGCGAGAGTGAAAGCAGGGGTGAATAACATAAGGAGGGAAGTGCACAAGTTGGGCAAAAAGAAAAGAAAGAGAGAGAGAGAAGAGTCAAAGGGAGGCAGAGATGAAGCGAAGATCAGATGAGAGGCGATGAGACCAGATGAGGTAGAGATAGATGGTAGCAGAGAAGGAGAGAAATGGAGTGTGAGATGAAAAAAAAGGAGAATGATGCTTGGGGAGAGAGTGGAGGAGGAGGGCAGATTAGATGGAAGAAGGAGAGGCAAAAAAAAATAAGTGTAGTGAAGTGCAGTGGAGAGGAGAGAGGAGTGGAACGAAAGACGAGCAGCGGGCAAATGAGAAATGAGAAGACCAGAGACTGGAGACGCTGTGACCTCACATGCTCGGCTGCAATAACTCTTTGAAGATCATTTCAAGGTTGTAGATAAGAGGGAACACATCCAGACAGGGGGAGGAGGGTGACAAAGGAATGGGGAAAGGGGGGACTGGGGAAGCGAGAAGACCAACAGGAGACAGGAAGTAAGAAGGGGGAGATGAAGACAAGAAGTACGAAGTAAAAAAAAAGCAGGAGAGAAGGATTGGAGGGAGGCACGGGGAACCGTGAAGAGATAAAGCGATAGTGAGAGAGAGTGATAAAGACCACAGAGAAAATGATTCAATGACTCAAGTTGCCATCAGGCATGCAGTAGTGTGTTTGCAAGTGTAGAGGCATGCATGCATGAACATGCGCATGGTGTATGCATCGGTATTCTGGAAACATGCAAAAATGTGTGAGCTTGCATGCAGGAGTGTGTGTGGTTACGTGTGCATGCTGGGTGCATGCTTTCTGGCAGGAGTGATTAAGTACTGCGAACCTTCACGCCAATAAACAACCAGGCAGGCTGTGTTCCATTCCTTAATGAGTTACCCTTATCAGTTCTCCTCTCCTCCTTCTACGCATCCTTTATTTAATCTCTCTTTCCATTACCTCCTTCACTTTCCCTCCCATATGTCCCATTATCATTCGTCTTGCATCCTCCACTTATGCTCTTCTTTTAATATTTTCTAGCTCAACAGCTTTTTTACTCTTATCTTCATTTCTCCTCCCTCTTTTTTTATTCATCCTTTTAATTTTCCAAGAAAGAAACAAAGGAGGAGATAGAAGTGACACTCTTGTGTTTTTAGAATCTCAACAGATACGGGCCAAATTAGAAGTCTGACATAAACTATATGATCAAACGATACAAAAAAATCGGTGTAGCTTTACTACTTTGGTCCAGCCAGAAAGCAACTTTTGAATGAACTACTATGAAATATTGTACATTCATGTTTCTCTGAGGAAGGTTAATGAGCTTGGTGGTCCTTTGACTTATGACTAAATAGATGCAAAATTAACTTATGCTGTCCTTCTGCTTCAGCAGCACTTTGTGTTAGAGCCAATTAGCATGTTAGCATGCTGATGTCAGTATTTAACTCAAAGCCTCGTTGGGCATAAATGCACACAGAGCTGCTTGCACTTCTGTAGACCCATAGTCTTAGTTAAACAGCTCCTTAGTGCAGTCTCCGTTAAAGCAAGTGGATAAAACACCCCATTAAGAATATGTCTACTAAATGACATATATTCTCCATATGGAAACACGATGCTCACAACATATCACACATAGGACAGCGAACTGTAACATGCTGAAGAACGACATTTGAATAAAAAACAACAGCATTAAAGGGACAAATTTAAAGCAGTAAGCCTCATAGAGTTAGTTACATTCAGGCAGATCTCACTGTTAGATATAAATTCAGCCAGGTAACTGAAAAATAATCAAAGCCTCACCATCTCTACACATTAGCACGCATAAAGCCTGAGTGCACTTGTTCAAAAATTCCTGATGAAATGACATTAATCCAGTTGGAACCACTGAAGTGAAAGCCAAGATTAAAGACGTTACAAAGGAAGCGTTTCAGTGTCCAAATGGCTTTTGATTCATTAAAAAGCACCCCTCTCCCGAACTGTCAAACTGACGGTGCAGTTTGCAGCAGCTTCTCAGGGCTCGTTCATGCACATGTTGACGTCAAACCAAAATTTTAAAGAAAGAAAAACAACCTGGTCATGACTTGAACTCATGCTTTCTGGTGTGTTGCCTTCCATAAATCAAATTAACCGCAGTTATATCTAGTTAATGGGATTAGAGCAGGGACACAATGTAGGAGACATCAATCTGGTTTGGAAGTCAGCCATGAATTTGGTTCTTTCACATCTTACAGGGTCTCTGTGGCCAGCTGGCAGGGGCTGTTAGTCCATGATGATTTACAGTAATGTCTCCTTGCTGCAGTGGTGGCTTCAGTAATTGCGCCATATATGCACTATAGAGTAAAGCTAAACATAATCAATATATGATTCTTTTTACATGGCTTTGAAATCTAATGGAATAGTTCCACATTTTGGGAAACACCCTGTATTCCTTCAGGACAATGTATAGCACACTCTCATTTGTTCTCACACAGATATGTAGCTTTGCATATAGATTAGAATCAAGATACTTTAGATTTATAAACTCTATTACACATAACTTTCTTCTTTTTTCTTACGAAAAACTAAGTGGGATAACAGCAAGCTGTAGTTTTACCAGGAGCTGAAAATAATTTGGCTGAAACCATTTCTTGGCCGAGCAAGTCCTAAGCAGAGGCTCCAGGAAGTCACTGTTCCCAGCCAAGAAAGAGACACATAACTAGACCCTGAAGCCATACATTCTTATTTAGGCACAAATCAGATATGCACCAGTAATGGGGAACTTCAGGGAAGGTAGCAGGCTCCTACTCTTTATGCTAAACTAAGCTGAGATAAGGTAGTCTCCTATTAGTAGCTGTTTCTGAAAGACTCCATTCTTCCACAGCATTTCCCACACTTAAAACTGGCTTGAAATAATAAATGACATATCATATTTATTTACTGCTATGACTAATACGGGCGCTGACATATATTTAGTTTCAAGTGGGAAGTAGGAAATCTCAAGTCTGAGTCCAAATTTTCAGCTGGAGCACTCCTTGAAGTTGGATTTCCCGCTTGAAAAGCCCCACCAATCTTGACAGTACAATCCAACATGGCAGCAGTGAGTGTAAACAGCATTAACACTATAACACTTGTAATGTGTACTACCTCTGTTGTGTATTTCTTAATGGCTAAATAAGCCACACGTAGAGAACCGTCCACGCGCTATCTGTAAACGCCCTGCACAGCTGTATTAAGCTGAAAAATAAGCATCGTGTTGTGTATTGCTAGTGATGGATGAACAGCATCACATGTCTAGGGAGCAAAACAAATGCGGATTTCCCTTGCATTCAAAGCTACCAATACTGGAAAGCAGTCAACTCTGGAATGAAGTCACTCCCACCTCTGACATCAGACTTCCGATGTAAAAGGAATGCAGCATATCGCCCATAATATCCAACGGAAAACAACCACTTTATCTAATCAAAACAGAGATGACATTACTGGAATCCTCCTATTTCACTCTAATTGTTTTAAAAATGAAGACATACAAGGCATTTAAAATGCTCATAATTGTAAAATACTGATATTTTTATTTTTCAAAAATGCAGCAGAAATGTTTTATGCTTGACACAATCCAGCCATCCGCTGAGTCAGTAAACCCATATATGAAAAAAATATTCAGTCAATCAAACATTTGTTAAATGTTATTTTTATATCTCTTTGTAAAAGGTCTTTGCTTACCATCCACAATTTTTTTTTTCAGCTTTCATTTTTCATGTATTCTGTTGACAGGTAACTAAAATCTCTCATGAAGAAGTTACTTAGGATGAGAGGAGGTTAAATAGGCCTCGCTGTCAAAGCTGCAATGTAGCTGCACAAATGAGGCTGGGAGGGGGAAAGGAAGGGGTTAGATAGGACACAGATCAGGACAAGGAAGGCAGAAATAAAAGGGAGTAAAATGGGAGCTTCTCTGCGCCATCGTTATGGCTTTTGGTGAAGTTCCTGGAATCTGGGTTTTTAGTTGGAGCAAAGAAAAATAAGTTTTTAGCTTCACAGTAGCAACCAGATAAGACTATGATTTCATAAATGCTTCATATCTTATTATGATGACCAAAGCAGCAAGTACTCACGCTAAAATCAGCCATTATTTCCACATGACGTAGTCTGGGTGGGGAGGGGGGGAGTGATAATTAATTTAACTGCTTTCCCGGTGTGTCTTGATAGAAATTTGGAAAAATATTGCTCCATTAAGAGGATGTTAAGGCGTAAAAAGCAGCATGTTTGCCTCACACTGTAACACAAAGCAACTGTGATTGTCCCCTCTTCTGCTCCACCCAGACTCCACCTCATTTATCAAATCTGGCAAACAATTGGCACCATGGTGGCAGGTAGTAAGCCAAACATCGAGCTTACTACCGATAAATCGTTGGTGACACCGCCACATTTCTCTACAGACTGTGGGTGACAGCGTCAAGAGAGTCTAAGCAACAAGACTTCTTTGTTTTATTTAGGAGGGGTTGGCAGGCGTGATGGCGGCTTTTATATTTTAATGGGTGCAATTCAGTCGTGGGTTCGTAAAACAGTGGGGCTTGAAAAAAACAACAGAACGAATCCTTGAATTTTGAGGGACATGCTGTGATTTTCGACAGCATGTGTCCCAAAAAAAAGTCTTTCCCTCATGCCTTCTGTAACAACCCCGCAGGGTTATTAGTAGAGGTATTTAAGCCTTTTGTTCTTTGAATGTTTGGGGAGACATGCGGTGATTTTTGAACTCCTGAACAATCACCATCTGTCTGTAAATCTTCAGATTACATTTTGGTTTTTTAGGTAATACGGGTAAGGCCTTGACGAAGAATTTTAGGAATGCGAAGGGAAGGAGAGCAGGAAAGGTTCAAAGGGTTCGTGGTTTTTGGCTGGTGCTCAATCATCAAACCAATATTGCATTATCTACACAGTACTAGCTCATCTTCCCAATGATCAAAAAAAAGACAGGATGGAGTGAAAAATGTCCTATATTTCAACGACTAAACAAATACCTAAATGCTCACATTGTTAAGAATTACTCAAATGACTGTGCATAGCAAATATAGTCTGTAAATAAAGGTACTGTGTACATATTACAGTGGGTTGAGATAGAAAGACAACCAGCCTTGCTTTAGGACATCTATACAATAATATAGTAATATCTGAAATGAAAGCAATAATGTGGTTAAATAAGTCATGTTTTAATGCAAGAGCAGGTAAATGCTGTAAATCATAATATATCATCTGTATCTTTCCATTCTATTTACAAGAGTTTAACACATAGCTGGTTAGAGTGATTCTTCAGTAAGTCTGGCAACACTTCAGAGGCCCCTTCTTCTTCTGAAGCTAATTTCTTTCTCTTGGCACACTTTCCAATTCTGTGTGTGTGTTTTTTTTTCTTCATATCACTCTATCTCCCTTTGTCTTCCTCACTCTCACAGCTGTTAAATCCCTCTCAATGAAATCTTAATCTCTTTCCCACCATCGCGCAAACTTTTTCCTTCAGCTTATGTTGTCTTTTCAATCCCCCTCTTCCTCTTTCTCTGCTTTTTCCTTTTTTGTTTTTTTTTTACATCCATCTCTCGCTGAAATTTGTTATTTTCTCCTCAGCTTAGTTTGATCCTTGGCAGATAGGGCCTTTGATCTTTTAATGAAAAAAAAATGCTACATTCACATTTCACAGGTTGTTCAAGTTGACATCAGCAGTCTGTGTGTGTGGTACTTCATAACTCAGTTCTGCATCTACATCTGCTCTCTTCAGCCTCAGCACGGTTTGCACTGCGCAGCTCAGGTGCAGTAAGAGATGTAAAGTAACTGACCCCTTTGCCACAGTGCTCCTCATCCTCCTCCTCAGTTGTAGAAAAAGCAGATTTAAAATCCAAAGCAGGTTTTCAGACATTTGATGGATGTCCTGGCTCATCGGGTTATGAGCAAATGAGTATCTCGTCTGATCCAGTTTTAGGTTTCAGTTCCCCAGACATGCAACACACAGCTGTTTGTCTTTACATCCTGTTACTGAAAAATGTCTCTCTGTCATTCCTTCTGTAACAATCCTGCAGGGTAATTAGTAGAGGTATTTAAGTCTTTTGTTCAGTGTGTGTGTGTGTGTGTGTGTTTAAGTAAGGGTGTGTGTTGTATCTATGTGCTGCGGTATCTTGCTGCGGTTATACACGCGTGGTGGAGTGTGTGTGCGTGGAGATGTGTGTGTGTGGCAAGTGTGTATTACTATATGGGCTATGGTGTGTGTATCCCTGGTGAGGATGCCCCATCCTCATCCCGGCCACCGATCCAGGCGTCATTGGGGTCATTGGCGTCGCAGGAGTAACGGGGTGAGACCCCGGGGTCACGGGCAGCGATCCCGGGGTCAGAGAGGTCATGAGGGGGACATCGTCGGGTGAGCGGCGCAACGTGAGGGTGTAATCAGGTGGGCAGGTGAGGCGCACAGTGTCCAGTGTGCTGTAGATGTCCTGGGTGTCCAATCCATCCAGCGCATCTAGAGTATCCAGGGTGTGATGATGGTGAGCGTTGTTCCGTTCATCTGCTGAGGCAGCGTCACACTCCAGCTGCTTCACCTACAGGTTTGGAAAGTTGGACGAGAGAAAACAAGGAGGTCAAAACAAAACAAAAAAATGCATTATTAAATAACCACATCTAGGGCAGCAACTGAGTATTGTTTCTATGATAAATTAATCTACCGGGTATTTAATCAAGTAATTAATTTATCATTACTCCTGAATAAAAGATAACATGAGAAACTAGTTTAATGGGTTTGGATTTCATGTTTTACCCAGCAAACAGTCCAAAAACTGAAAAAATATTGAATTCACAGTGAAATAAATCTGAGAAAAACACCAAATCCCCACATGGCCAACATCAGCACAATTATGTATAAAGCCACAGTTCAGTAAAATAAACAATTAATCATTATACCTACTTCAGTGGGCAATTTTCTTCCCTTTAAATACCATTTAGCAGGTGCTATCCAAGACCAGCATAAAATATCACTGGTTTATATAAATATATAATGAATGCACAAGCCTCTAAATGCCACCTCGATCTAAAATGAGAAAGCGATATCAAGTGAAAGCTCTCAGTGGGTAGCATATGATAATAGAAGGCTTTCACTTCAAACCTGGCTAAACCAGACACTGAGCCTCCTCCAAAATAAGCACAGCTTTCCTTTGTCGGGAAAAGCCTCCATGTTCACAGCACCACCAATGAGAAGATGTGAATAAGATCATCTGACATTTAATCAGGTCAAGTTCCATTTATCAATGTGGTCAGACTATTATCATGATGTTGTTTGCCCCTTTCAGGCACTACTTGATATTTTAGACATGGCATGGTTTTTTTATTTTTTGGAGAAAATATTATATTTAACCCTACTTTTTGAGAACTTTGATATATCACATATACACATGTGATTCAAATGATGGGCAGTAAATGACAACATAATCCTTCATAAGTCTTTTTGAGCAGTAATGCTATTAAATTTTGCAAAATCTGCATTTAAACACCCAAATATATTTCTTCACATGTTCAGGCAGAGGAACATATTTTTGAATGTAGCGATTTCAACATTAAAGGACGGTAGTCTGGGCACTGTGTCACACATTTGTGACATGTGTCATGAAATAAAAATAGAAAAATAAGAATAAACCCTTAAATTGACCCATTAATGCCTGTGTATCATATTTGAAACACGGTACTTTATTCATTGTTGAGACTTCTACATCATCAGTGTGATTTTTCCCCCTGAATAACTTAAAAATGACACAATAAAATTTTAAGCCTGATGCAGCAAATATGACACAAATGAAAAAACAGAAATTATTATTAAATTCATTTTTTAAACAAATTTGTCTAATAGTTCCAACTCTCCATTTTTTAAAAAAAATTGAATTTTCTGGCAATTATTTCATGGTTCAGGCTTTAAATGGTTAAAGGGACGGTTTAATAAGCAAAAGTGTGGTTTGTTGCCTGAGGCAACACCGTGCCATGGAGGGTTAGCTTGCTCGACACGACAAGTATTCACTGGTTTTAGAGTAATTTATTTATTTGATATATCATAATTCTGTTTTTAGTTTTTATTTATTATAACAACAGCACAGGGCATAGTGATTGTGTAATCTCTTCTATTTATTATTTATTGATTATTTTGTTGTACTGTGTGGCTATTGTTCAGTTATTCATTTTGAATCATTTATTTCCAGTTGAATCTTTAGTGATTTTGCAAGCCTTTCCTACATCTTGTACAAAAAGTATTCTGCAAAACCAGCACAGATGGACAACAGGGGTTTGATTGCAGAAGACAATTGAATTTGTTGAAAACCCAAGAACTGACTAGAGTTTTTGAAAATAAGGCATTTAATTCAGTCTCAAATGAAATTTTACTATAATTTCTAATCAGGAACCTGATTTTAAAAAATGCTTAAAACAAAATGTGTCAGATGGGCTTAGAGGTATTTGCATCTGATCTTTCATATATACTACAGTAATTTGCACTGTATGAAAGTCATGATGAATGGTAAAGATTGGCAGCCACTCTGCATCTTAGTGTTGTTAGTTATGCCCTCTGTCAATCGTGGAAGGAAATTATGGGGGAACAAGGGCAAAAAACATGATAAATAATAAAATAATATTAACTGAAAGCTTGTGTGTTAATTGCATATATAAAAAAATACGTTTTGAAATATGTCTCATAGTTGCTGGGGTCCATTTCCGGCAATTCTCTAACTCCTTTACCTTGAAATGGTGCAACGATGTATGAGTCATTGTTCTACAACTCAACTGAATAAAACATATTTAAGGCTCTAACCAGACCGCCTTTTGTTAGCTCCATTACCCTGCGATTGAATCTTGTGCTTCAGTGAAGCCACTATATTGTTACAGGGCAAGCATGTCTCTTAATGCATGTTTATGGAAGCAAGAGGTCTGTCTGCAATTAAAATCAATATAACACTGATTATTGGCCCAATTTTCTGATATTCCATTCCACAGCCCCAGACTAGTACTCGGGTCCCCCTATGCCACCCCATTTTTAAAAATCCTAGATGCACCTGCACACCGATGTGAGACATTCACATTAGTGAGATCGCCTTTAAAGAGTCAAACGTCTTGGTAAACTGGGATTTCATTGCACCTGATTCAGAGCCAGCTTTGAGCACCTCCACACAGAGTTAGGACTTGAATCCATAAAACAAATCAAATCAAATTCTAACTACCTCATGCTATTTGTCATATAAACCCCTCCTGCCTTTATTTGACTGATTTTTAGGTATTACTCTACATCAGCGGTGGGTAATTAATTTTCCCAAGGAAAACTGGGACCTTTGCGGAGGGCCACACGAATAAGTTGAACTTAGTTTTGGTCAGTTAATTTTATTTCTTTATAAATAAGCTTATTGGTGCGGCCCTCCTCAACAGTCCAAGTTTTGCCTCCTGTTCTACAATCATATGTTTTTCTTAGCCAGAATAATGTAAAACCCAAGAATACGTTCTAATAAAATGTTAGATTTTTATATTTAAAGAAACACAGAATTGAAAATACGGACTTAAAACATAAATCTGGCAGCTGTTGTGCTGAACTTGATTACTGTAGTTCAATTGCCAATTAAGATTTGTCAGCTATAAAACATATCTAACATTTAGCACTCGCTGTGTGAGATTTAAAAGCGACAGGCGGCTAACAATGCTCCAAAGAGGCCAGATATTGAATGAACTCGAGACAAATGAAAGCAATTCAGGCAATTGTACACAGCTAACACCTGCACATGCATCAACACTCACAGATACACACGGATCCTCACACTGATAATGTCTGCTGATGACGGGCTGTGTTTTGCAAGAGTGCTCTACTGGCAGCTGCTACACTGACAAGAGTTTAATTACGTCGTCACACAAAACCTCAACTGACTCGCTGACAATGAGCGTGATTATTTTCCATATAGCTTGAATCTGAAAGGGCACTCAGGGAGCACAGAACTCTGCCAAGGCTGATCCCCAATTTTGCAGGATTCAAAGAAAGCGCTCTGATTGTGCACACAAAAATGGAATGGGGTCTTACTTTGCCCATGCTCCACCTCTCCAAGAAGGTTGATGTAATTCTATAACTTTTGCTACAGAATTACAGCTAATCTTGGTGACAAACAAACAAACAAACAGACAAACCGCCAAGCTAAACAAAGATCTTTGAAGAGGATTTCTGTGGCTACACAAGCACACCATGACTCACCGCAATCTAGACTTCATCACATGTGCAAAGCATGTGCAGCCACCCACACTGTGACTTACCTGTAATGACATCAGTCCCTCCCCCTGTAGGTGGGCTGCAACGTCTGCTGGCGTGATGTCTCTCCTCGGTGGGGGAAGTGGACGTGGCCTACGATGCTCCAGACGCCTTTTGTCTTTTTTGTAAAGAAGAGCCGCAAATGCAAGTATGTTAAGAAACAACAGTGACGCTCCTACTGCAATAGTCACTGAGAGCTCAGTGGAGTAGTCCTCATTAGGGACACGGACCCCATTTTCTTCTCCACCTTGTCCTAACGCGGGCTCGGGTGGTTGTGGAGTACCTCCTGGGGAACCCGGGTGGCGTGTACTGCTAGGAGGCCAACCTTTGGATAGACGCTTAGTGTAAGAGTAAGGGGTGTCATCCTGTGGAGAGGGACTGTGAGTGAAAGACGACACCGACTGGAGGAGCTCGTTGACATGATGCAAGTGTGGGACCAGCTGGAGCCAGAAGGAGATTTTGGTAGCACGGTAGTGATCTCTGACTCGGGGCTTGAGGCCAATGTGGAGATACAGCTGCTCCTTGGGGGTGTATTTAGACCAAGCCACTTCCTCAAAGCGATTAGGCTTTGTGTGGATAAACTTGGTATCTTGAGGAACTGGCTGGTTTGGATCACTGAAAAATGCGAGAGAAGGATTTATTTGTTGCTAACAAATAACTGTAACCTTGAAGAAAATAATACTAAAAGAAACAAAGAAATTAAACACATTTAGCAAATGATCTCATGTTGCACCACGTGTGGCTCAGATATTCATTTGACGTACAAATATCAATGACTTTTTTTTCCCTTGCTTCTCAAATGTCAGGGAGTTCTCAGCTCCTTCTGTGCTGGCAATCATCCTCCGAGGATGCCGAGTTTCGCTCAAGCTGGCACAACAGTTTCATCAGAATTTCTAATCAATATTAAAGTGACATAAGACAAACCAGAGGCAAAAAATATTTGCTACAACGCAAAACAAGATTTATTTTCCTGTAAACATAGCTGCGAGGTGGTTTCGTTTTAGTTCATTGATTTTTGTGCAGTTTATATGCCTCTTACAGAACATTCCTGTTAATGCACAGTTCAAACTCCTGCAGTTTGAACTGCGTGCAAACCTGTCAGATATCTACATTAGAGATGAATGTGTGCGTGGTACAGTGGAAATAGCTTGAAAAATCACTTCTCTGACACATGCCGACAGGCATTTATTTGTCGATTTACCGACTTATTTGTGTCAGCAGCTAAAATGTTGGGAGTCAAACGGCAGCGCATCTTCACAGACTTGCCAGTTACGTGCTATGTGCTCGCTTGTCAATCAACACCTTATGAACAGCACAAAAAGGCTGCTAGCTTAAAGACCCACCGACACACAAATGCACACAAGCTGAGGATTTATACGCCCACACAGAGGCGTGCAAAATATACATCAGGGAGCATCACATCTCCCCCGTTAAATTGAGCTGTCGCAGAGTTCCATCACCATCCGAGGCACTCAGAGCCGAGAGAAATCTTTCTTCAGAGAAAGTTCCCCTTTGATAATTGAAGTGTATACTGAAATCTTCACATGCCTACTTGGTGATTTTGCGCTGCGGCTTGCTGCGACGGTAATGACAATACAGACTATGGGCTAGAAACAGCTAACTTAATGCAATGTGACTGCCTTAATGCATTCACATTAAAGATATCTTTATTTCATGCCACAGTCAAATTATGTGAGCGCACTGTCCTGGTTCTTTACGCTGTGAAACAGCGAGGCTCTGCGGTGATTTAGATCAAGGTTTAGACCACAGATGTTTCTGTTAATCTGAAGAGGTCTCAGTGGATTGAGCCTCAATTGGATTAATTACTGGTAATTACTCACTTCAAGCACTGCAGAAAGAAGGTCCATCTTCAACAATTACTTTTATCTTGTATATAATGTCAGCGCGGAAAGATAAAAGGCACTCTTATCAGTGTGGATTGTCAGGTTTGTAAAGTTTTAATGCGGGCTTTTTCTGTGGCAGCAATATTTTTCAAAGCTATGAGCAGACCACTTCAGTCTGCTTTAATAATTTGGATTGCTCTTTGCTACTTAGTTTTAATTCAACATACTGAATAAACTATATTTCTCATTGCGTCAGAGAAGAGAAGAGAAGAGAAGAGAAGAGAAGAGAAGAGAAGAGAAGAGAAGAGAAGAGAAGAGAAGAGAAGAGAAGAGAAGAGATTTGTCAAGCAACAGCAAATTAATCAATTGATTCCTCTTTTAGGACATCACCTTGGCTGTCCTCAAGGACTTTTTTTTCAAGAGCAGGAGCTCTTTAACTATTTCCGCCAAGGTCCCAGAAGAAATGCCTGTCAAGACATTGACATGACAGACAACCTGTATGCCCACTTTGCCAAAATTAGTCTGCGGTGCTGCTTTCATTATTGTGTCTACAGCGGCGTCTTCTCGTCAGACATCAGAGAGCTCTTGAAGGAAAAGGCATTACAATAACATATCCTTTGCCTGTGAGCTCATTATTTTTGTTGCTCTAAAAGTGCGATGTTTTCATCTAATGCTACATTAAAATTCAACTTCTACGACAATTGCAATCAAATTTTTCTGGAGAAATGTGGTTCTCGTGCCATTATTTGCTATGTTAAATATTGCTTAATTTAATAAAGAAGCTGAGCGATTAAGCTTATTACTCCTGCCTGTTTTCGATAAACTCATGCCAACGCCTACAACTCAATGCTAACAATCAAAACTTTTACATTCTCCTCTTTGTTCCCTCTTTGACAGAACTCTGTGTGTAAACATTGACAGATAGCTCGGTGCCTGTGTTAATCTTTATTATTAATCTGTCCACAAATTAAGCACATGGAAAGGATATCAAGCGCTGCAAAGTGGAGAGGCTGTTTATCTTGATAACATTATAGACTTGAAACTTGGCTGTCCTATTTCAAGCCTGGAGGAGATTTATTCCAGTAAAATCAAGACGGAAAGGTCCACACTTTCAGAAACAACACTTTGCGTTGCCAAAACCTCGTCTTTGCATAGTCAATTAAAAAAAGGACAAGGAACGACTGATCTTTGACTTTGACAGCTGTGCATTTTCTTTTGCACTTGTAAAATGTGATTAAGTGTCTTGGCTTTCATTCTCAGTCATGAGACATTTTACACATGTGGGAGGGGATTATGTATTAATAGCAGAAATTAGAAACGGGTTTCTCCGTTTGAAAAGACTGAATGACGCCGAAGCCATCCTCTGTTTTTTGTCTTTTTTATGGACTTTTGCTTGTGTTTGCTTAATTCTCCGCAGGATTTTCCAACAGAACAACATCTCACATTGCAGCGGACATTTTATTAACTCACCCAGTCTTGGCAAAGTTGGTCCAGTAGGTCATAACGACCGCACTCAGCATCACATCGTTTTTGGAGAAGTTACAGTTGAACAGATCGGTGGGTCCCACCATGGGCACGCCAAACACATAAGGCACCTACACATATACACACATATTCATGTTAGAGTCAATACATTTGTTCTCTGGACTCCAACCATAAGCATGACTGAAGCACTACTGAGTCAGATCCTGTAGTACATTTAATTTGATCATATTTCCATACTCTGGTATCTAATCATTTTCATATTACATGTTTTGTTTGTGATCTTACTTTGTAGCAGGGATAGTGCAATATTTTTTATGCTTTTTCATGTTATGTTATCTTATGTTGACTAACAGAGGACTACAGTAGAGCTCTACACCAGCATATCGCTTTCGCCCTTCAGCTATTACATACTTGAGCCAAGGAAAGCACTTACGATTAGCCAATCAGCGCCAGGGGTGGGACAAACAAAGAACAGGCATTTATGTATATCATCGCCTGTGCACCCATATGCACTGGCAGCAGAGCCCAGCTTCAATTATTTATTAAAAGGGTCTTAGCTTCGTTACAATGTTCAATCACATGTGGAGTGGCAAAAAGTGAGATGGGCAACAATACTGAAATTGCACTGCTGGCTTTAATGGGTAATTTAAGTTAATTGTAAATGTATTTCACTTGTCTTAGTGGACATTTTTTATGCAAGGGTGAAAAGATCAAAGTACTTTCTTACTGATATTGCACAACATTTGAAAACCTTGTGAATTATAGCCAATTATGCATTTTACATTTATTTCATTATTTTGAAAAAGAAATGTTGTTGGTGTGCACAAACAAATACACAACCAACAATGACTCTGAATTTTGTGTCCTGTTATAGCCATATTGTTACCATCATAATTCAGTCATCACATGCATGAACAAAGAGCTGTTTCATATAAATAGTCAGGAAAAATACACATACACAGCATATAACTACTTAACCACCTAAAAGGCCTGTAGCACAAGTTATTTCATGAACATTTCTGATATTTAATGCTCTAACGAATTCCTTAATCAAGTATTTTGAACAGATCAATGTGAAGCAGTAACAAACCCCAAAGCTCCTCATTCATTGTATAAATCTTTCAAGATTCTTTGAGAAATAAGTCATTTTGTCAAATTTGCTTTAGAGTTAATTACTCAGATTAGTCACCGTCCTTTGCGAAGTCTTTCTTCTATCCTCTTTGATATTTAGTCTCATTTCTTGAGCCTAGTGCTTAATAACTCTTCCCATGCAACAGATACTGCTCATGTACTTTGATCTCACCTCATCACCGTGGGCAGAGTCGGCCCAAGGTGGCGTGGCGTCACTCTGGCAGTGGTGGTAAAATGAGTAGAAGTAGGTAGGAGACCCATACTGAGCGTGGAGATCAGCTGTTGCTATTGCTGGTGCCACCCACTGATGGTCTGTAAAAAGCGCCACTAGTGTCTTCCTGCGGGTTTCTGCATTATCCCGATCTGCCCAGTCTGTGTACATGAACCTTAAATCATAAATACATTTGAAATTTAGTCAATCGATCATCTCATCTTTCAGCAAATCTATTATATGCATTACAGAGCAACAAGATTTCACAGCGAACGGATATTTATATACCAAGGACTCAAATTCTGTTGTCCTTGCACAATGACAATAAAGGTCTTGCACCTTGAATCCAGATGTCGAGAGGAAGAGATGGATCCGCATGCTTATACAGTAGTGATTCAACAGTCACAAAGTAAACCAGCCCTAAAGCATGCAAGCATTATTTGTTTGAGACTACATAGCTAACTCATAATGTATAAAATTAACAGTAAATTGCATGAAATAATACCTAAATAATACCTCCTGCAAAACTAGAGACCATAAACTCATCATTGGAAACTATGGTCAGCTCTTTTTGCAACCAGAGCAGTCACCCTATGCAGCGCATCATAAGGAATTCAGGTTTAAGGTCCCTCTGCACTGCTTCAATTTTAAGACACCACACTATGTCTACAGTTGTCTATGGCTTTTAGATTTTGCTAACTATGCTTTTTGCCATGCCTTTGACCAGAAGATTGCTCCCACTTGCATGTCAGTTTGATATATTTGAAGCTACAATGAGGGATCAGTTAACTTAGCTTAGCATGCAGATACTACAATGTAGTGGTTTACACATTTGCCTAACAAGCAAATGATCCCCGGCTCAGTCCCAGGAGGAGACTCAAATCCCTTGGGCGATGTGTCAGGAAAGTCATCCGGTATAAAAAATCTGCCAAATCAAATATGCAGAGCAACCCACTGTAGTGACCCCTCTGTGATTAAGGGAGCAGTAGAAGTAGCCTTTTGTTCTAGCAGTTGGAGAAAACAACTCATTTTGTCCGTGTTAAAATAATTGCTAACCAACACCTCTAAAACTCACTAATATGCTGTGTCTTTTTCCACTAAGTCTCCTGCTGGTTTCCTTTATTCTAGGAATCACTGCCTGGAGGCAAGACACTGTCAATGTGAAGGGAGGAAGTAACAAATTACATTTATTCTCATTACAGTGCCACTAGTTTTTTATGAGTCCAAACTTTGGCTACATTGGTATATGCTGCAGAGTCAAAACAAATGTCACATGAAATAGGGATAATAAACACGTGAGAACGGAACAAGAAGCTGCAGCTGACATAAAAACCAGCTTGTTTACTGTGAAGCACACATGTTCTCCGTGAACTTTACCTCATGAATATAGTTGTTGCACTGCTTGTTCGCGCTGTTTTGGGTTCAATGCTAAAACACTTGTGTGGGGGGGGGGGCTTTGCTATCCCTTCATCACCTATGACCCGCATGTGGGCGGTTGGTTTTCTCAGACCCATGACCTGCTTGTATATTCTTATTATTCTGTTGTGTTCAAGGCTGCAGCCGCCCTTACAAGCTATGTCTCCTAGTATGAAGTATGCCTTAGATTTGGACATAGTACTTTAATATAGTGTGAAGTCTGTGAGGCCAAAATTTAAGAAAAAAATATGCGATTTGGAAGGTTACTTAAATCATCCGTCTTGTGATGCACGGCTCATATCTTCTACCACACAGAGGATTGTGAGTCATAATAGCCAGAAAAGCATGTTGGTTTGCATGCTTCAAATAGTGACTGGATGCTGTGGGACATCCTTGTCATTTTGGCATACTGTTTTGGACATACTGTATTGTGACATACTAAATCTTTATCTTATATAATAAGCAGCATGGTAGTAAGAATATTGGAACACAGGCCATCTCTCTCCTCTGATCTCTGTCTGTGTCATGGATGTCTTTAGAGCCGCAGGTCTGTGTGTCTGTTTGACCAACAGTGGGACTGAGGCAACAGTAGACAGGACGACAGTGTGGGTGTGCTTATTTGTGCTTCAGAACGCGACCGCCATGTAACGATCAGAAAATAATGTTTTTCTTGCTCGCACTGCTCTCCTCATCATCCACTTTCTAGCCTGCTTGGCCACAGCTGCTCTCCCCATTTCTCTCTCTCTCTTTCTCTCACTCAGGAACAAAGGGGTTGGGTTTGAATGTTGGTAGTTTGCACGTTCAGATAATCTAAATTTTGACTACTATGACAAATATCCCAGTATGGCCACTTGAAATGAAACATCCAGCCAGACAAAGAAGGCAAAATAGAGGAAAAGCTGAGACTGATTTTTTTAAATTTCCTGAATTTTTAGAAACAGGTTTGCTTTAAGGCCGAGGAGTAAAGAGTTATCTTTAAAACAGGTAGGCATGTCAGCAACTTCATTGTCAGTAGGCAATAAATGTAAAAATAGCTCAGGTTTGTAATCTGCTTTAACCTATAACTGCAGATCTATTAAAAAATGTAAATAATGTAAAGGGGATGTAATGATCATGCAGGGATCCCATGGGACAGGCAATGTCATTTTGTGTCTGAAAGCCCCATAACTTATTGCACAAATGTTGTAACTTCAAAAGTCTCATTCAGCTCAGTGTTTGAAGGCTTAGAGGCAGATTAAACTGAGAAGTGAAAAACAGAAAAGCTGAACCTGGAGCAAAATCAGAGTCAGGAAGGAACTACAACAAACTAACTGTGAGCACCACAGTTAGTGCCTATGTAATCTATGTGTGTTAGTGGGCTGCAGCTGCTGTGTGTAATTAGCTTATATTGTTTAGAGATTTCAGTGTTGTCGGCTGTACTGATGCCTCATCAGCTGAGGCTGATTATTTGATTTATGTAGCTTAATATTGCTACACAGAGTCTGAGGACACCCACTCTGGTTGTTCGGTTCTATTTTCTTCTAAATTCTGCAAAGGCCACCACCTGCAAAATACTCTATTGACAGTTGCCATGTTAATTTTACTCACATTTTAGTGACTACATTTGAAGGAAACTCTTTTTATTTTAGCATAAAATCTCTTTAAGGGAAGGGATACTTTTCTTTTTTCTTTTTACGAAGGAGCAACCTCCAGAGCTGAAAAATGAAGCCAACTGCAATTCCTCCAGGTGCCACTTTAGGCTGGCTGCAAAAGAGAGTCAATCTTCATAGTGGTAAAATGTCCAACTTTGCAGCATCAAAAAGCATATTCACAGCATGGATCAAAAACAATTTTGGGCTCTGCGGATAGTTTCCCTCCTCTTAACCACTGGGTAATTGAATTATGGGCATAACCACATTGAGTGACTAACCTATCATAAGCAGATGGCGCTAACTGGTGTCTGCTAGGCCTCACCTTCACTGCTGCAATAGAAGATAAAAACTGGACCTTTTTATCTTCTATGTACTATTGGGGCCCTGTGGGGCATTTTTAATGGATTATCTGATTAATATTGTGGCTTCTTTTGCAGCCATCCAAGACATTTCTCCTTCAGTTTTGGTGAGTACAATTGTCACTGTGTTATTTGCACGTTACATAGCGCTAATTAGCTGATATGTGTGTCTATGTGTTGCACCGGAACAGTTTATGAATGCAGCTTAGCTAGTATTAGCTAATGAATTAGCACTCCACTTTTCCATCCATATAAGCTAACGTCTGGCTCCAAGAAAACAACATGGTGCTGGGGAAAACACTAACGCTGATACTTTAAAATGTGAAGATCAAAACCAATGGGTGACATTAAACTGTCTGATTTTTACTAAGTACTGTTGTAAAGTGCTTCTTCCATCGTTGCCATGACAGATATTTTTTCATAAACTTTAGACATGCTGGAGTCTGTTTCTTTAGGACAGAACATCAAGCTGTTCACACTATTACATCACAGCTAGCTGACACACTTCTAACTGCAGGGTCACATTTATTAGCTTAGTATCAATGATCGCATCTAACTTTCTAAAAGAAATCTGATAATTATATTTTTTGGAATGTCACATTATTATCCCCTCACTTATTACTCATTTTTTAAGTATTCAGAAACGTAACTCACCTTATGCTTTCTCTCAATGTGTCTCGGCCCTCTGGGTATCCATACAAACTATCCACAAAGTCCGACACTGCGAAGTCAAAGTCCTCAGCACTGACACCGTCCTCTGAGTCCACTATGCCCTCCACAAACTTCACGCCCTCACCCTGATTAACCCCCAGCATCACGTCGTAGTTCAGAAACTCTCCCTGCTCCATCAGAATCTGGGGGTCATCAGGTATAACATCACCATCAATCACCGGGGCAAAAGCTGTATGATATTTGGCTGGTGTTATGTTCTGCTCCACAAGTTCACGGTAACTCCGGCCCTGGAGGCAGGCAACCAGTTGCGTGCTGTCATCGATGCCGCAGCCCACTCTTTCACCGAGCTGCCGGGCATACTTGCTTGGCTGGTAGTTGACAGCCCAGCTGGCTAAAGCACTGCCGCTCTGGATGATGGCTCTGTGGAACAGGTCTGATACACATGAACACACAAACATACTGTAAATACAAATCTGGGTGTAGATGTAGCCTGTATACACTGAGGCACATATATATGGGTGCACATGCACCCACACATGTGTGCATGGATGCACAGCCACTTGAATGCACACCGGAAGGTTGCACAACACATTTGCACACATAAATAGATCCAGAAGCAATCATTCCCACGGCAAGGGGAAAAAAAATTGGCATCGAAGATCTGCATTATTCTGATTTAAAGTATGACAGGTTATATCTGGCATACTAAGTTGAAGTAAGAGTTAAATGTTAAAAGTTAAAAATAATAACAGCCCTAGGCTATATGAGTCACGGGCAGGCTGTATTATTCACAGAATTCAAAGGCTTTTTCAGGCATTAAGACCACTAAATGAAAGCTGCAACGGTTCACTGGAGACCTTGAAAAGATTCATAATGGTAAATGTCAGAGCTTACAAAGCAGCCACCTACCTACCAACCACCATCACAATCTGTCCATTCTCTTTATATATTTTTAAATGCAAAAAAAAGTTTAACATACAGATGGGTGATAATGATCGCTGAATTCTTGAAATCTATGGCAAGGAGATCAAGTGACTGGTGGTGGATGGGGGGGGGCATTTTTTCTGCCATGATTTGGTTCTCCCCTTGGAGATTCTTGGAGATGGGTCACTGCAAATCAATACATTGTTATTCTGACTGATCACCTTTATCCTACGATGAGGCATTTATTTATTTTTTGTCTTGATCGCCGTGCTCTCTCCCAGGATGACAGTGCCTCCACCCATAGGGATAGTGGACTCACTTAATGATGTAATAAGTATGAAATTATTTAAGTCATACATTGTGGTCTTCAGAGTTTTTGGATGTCGACTCCAATGAAAACACCTATGGGAAATTCTGGATTGACATGCTAACCAGGGCTCTTAACCGCCATCATCAAAAGACCAAAAAAGGGGGAAACCTTTATATACCACCACTACCCTAAAGTTGCGCTGATGGCATGTTGTGGCTTGACAGTTGTTTTTTCTTTTCATTTGTCACCCATCTTTAAAGGTTGAACTGAATAAAACACAGTACATCAATACACTTTTTATCTTTGATTCTCGCTCACCCTCCGAGTAGTGCGACAAGGTGAGGAGGCTCACGCAGGATGCTCCAGCCCCTGATCCAAACACCGTGACCCTGTTTGGATCCCCGCCAAAGGCTGCGATATTTTCCTTCACCCAGCGCAGGGCCTGGATCTGGTCAAGCAAGCCGTAGTTCCCTTTTGCTGCCTGGTCACCTGTACTAAGGAATCCTATAGGTAGGCAGAGAGAGAAGGAAGAAGTGGTGCATCTTTATCTCACAATAACAAAAAGAAACTCAAACGAAAACACAAAGTTGGGCACAAGATTACGGCATTAATTATTCACAAGTTGTTTTTATGATACATTGAAGTTTAAAATTCATGAAAAGTGATGTGCCTCTTCTGCAATTCCTCAAACTGAATCAAATCAACAAGTTACATCCATATTCATGTCAGGAAATATCAATTACACACGGAGATAAACGCATAAATCTACATGTGCATGCAGTTACAACTGCAGCGATCCCTTATTCCCTTTACTACTGATGTTAACTAAACACGAGGATCCTAACGGCTCACTCCTCTATCTCATTACTGCAAAAGCTCATTCCTGTGAACCTCAAGCACATAAGAGTATAATGAGCAAGAAAAGCAATGCTAAAATACATTTCACCACTTATGTGCATTTGTCAGAAATTTTCTCTGAAGCAAAAAGAAGGACACTGTAAGGATTATATTCGTTTAGAAGAGCTCTGTGATTATTATAACTGTATAATGTGCTTTCATATTCTGGGGAAAAAAAATTTGAGTCAATCGTTTATTTATTTCATTTATGCTCATGTGCATAATTGTACATCGCTTGTAATAAATGGGCTCACCTCATGCATCCAACTTATGGTGACAATGGCGAGGAGAAGGAAGAAGATGTACTCGAGATGTAGCTTGATGGTGATAGTGATGATGATGGAGAAGGCGCAGGTGGTGTAAACACAGGGGATGGAGTGAAGACACAAAGAAGCATGTAGGAGGGTCTTTATTTGGCTCTGAATGATGATTACAGCAGTAGTTGCTATATTTTCCCCAAGGTCAGAATTAAATGGAATTTCTTCTCACCCACTAACCACATGCAGATTTATTCCATCTTATAAAATCAATGTCTAATGAAAGCCTTGGAAATTAGCATTTAAAAACGTATTAACCTTTTAGCATGTATTCAAACCCAATTTTCAAAAAACATCCTCTGCCTAATTAAGGAGGAACCCAGATGTGTCCTTACTTTTGGGAGAGAAATGTCTCTCAAACAGCCTGAAAATGATTTGCATGTGCAAGTAAAAGATATATAAACCGATAAAATTTAATTAAAAGCCACCTATTAATTAATACAAAACACCAGTCTAGTTTTTCTATTACTAATTTACATAATCATGCAGATTATAATAAGGGATGTCATTTTTTTAGCTGTATAAGCTAAATCAGGCATTAAAGTAGAAAAGATACAGTAGCCACATGTTTCTAACTTACATATTATTTTCATATTTTCATCACTCTCACTGCTAAATAGTGGGCACCTTCTTATTAGAATGCTTTTACCCAGTCAGTGGGATGCGTTGCCTGTATATTGATTGAATCAATATACGGGCCTCACACAAACAACTAAATGTTCATGCCCTTAGTGTAATACAGTAAATGAGGCCTCGCATTTATTTTTAACCCTCCTGTGGCCCTACTCAGCTCTTTGTAATTTTAATAATTACAACCACAAGAAGGCTTAATACCAGGATTTTAAGACATTCTGATTATCCAACCTGTGAGCTTTGCATAGCTGCCTAAAATTAGAAAAACCACAGGGAATCAGATTTTTGCTGTTCAGAGAGCAATGAGTCAGAGAGTCATGGAGGTAAAGTGGATCAGATTTGAGTCGATGCTAGTAGTGGTGGTGGGGGGGTGGCTTCAGGGGGTTTTTTTCCACCAGGGACCCCCATACTCAACATGTTTCCACTTAAAGAAAAAAATTTAAAAAATAAACGGAAAGGGCGCTCTGGGTAAAAACAGCTCACTAATGGTTTTCACATTTCATAGCTCGTTGAAGGATTAAACAATCCAGATGGTAAGTATACTCTAGATTTGACTTCTGTGTTGAGACGTAAAAACTGAATTTTGTTTTAAACGAAACTGTTGTATCTTATAAAAGAAAGTTCCCACATAATGAGAAAAAGCAGAAATATTACATGTAAAAAAAATTCATTTACAAAGTACACACTGCATCAACCCTGAACTCTCAATTATAGCTCATAATATCTAATAAACTAAAACTAAAACTGAATTAGTGTAAAGCAACAATGTAAAATGCCGTTTTCTCCAAACGAATGCATTTTTTTTCCTGGTGTAAGATCATTCTGATAAATCTCACCACTGCGGTGACCACTGCCATCGGTGGACCTTTTGATATATGCATTCCCACCTTCATCTGCTTCTATCATGGGGTAAAATATCCATCTCTTCCTATGCAATTTAATTTTTCTGGAAAAGACTAAATTCCCAGATTAAATAAGTGCCACTGAGATGTGGACAACGCATTTCAAATTATTATCCATCCATCACCCTTTAGACTACCGTTTCATAATGGAAATTACCATACAGTAGGTGTATGACACTGCAGTGATACCCAGAGCACCTTGGCAGTAATTGCTCTGCTATTGTTCTCTCTCGAAGGGTGGAGCACAGTTTTGAAGCTCAAATTCAGCCATTTTAGAAGCGATTCACTAAAAACCTGCTTGTGGCTGCTTGGATTTGGGAGACTTAAACTTAAAAATAAAGGCAATACAAAAACAAACCATGAGCATATACATCTAATACAGCCAAATTGTATACATACTGGAGACAGGATGGGTATGAAATGTAGATAATTTTTACCTAATACTCCTAGGCGGTAGTTGAGAGTTATGACGATGACATTGCCATAGCTTGCAAGCACACTGCCATCCATCATGTTACCGGTGCCTTCTGTGTAGGAGCCACCGTGGACGTAGACCATCACTGGCCTCTGCCCCTCCTCATGGATGTCTGGGCAAGAGAAAGATAGAGATGGGTTAAGAGATAGATAGATAGATAGATAGATAGATAGATAGATAGATAGATAGATAGATAGATAGATAGATAGATAGATAGATAGATAGATAGATAGATAGA